TACCAAGACCCGACTGTTCTGTATGTTTGTTCTTTTGTAAAAGTGAGTGTTTTTCCCAAGTATATGACTATCTTTATCAGAAAATAGTTTACATTACTGTTTATGTGAGAAGATCACTATATGAATGTAATGGGAAAATGACGATGTATAGTAGTATTGTATAAAGTAACTACTGATGTACTAACAACCTTAAACCAATTGTTTAATTAAGGTAAAGTGTGCTGAGATTATAACCATACTTGATTGACTAGTAAAACACGAATATCAAAGACGTCGAAATGGTATGACATTCGTCACCCGTAGACCTGCAGGTCCTACTGTAGCTAGCAGCAAGGTGTAGGATGATCAATCCCGTATAGATCTATACACAAACTCACGCTCTCCCTCCAGGAGACTCTGGTTACAGAACGTGACACAGCAGTATATTGTCATGCCATGAAGTAGTGGCTCACATTAATGTTATATTGTTCTTGTATTAGTGTAGTATGCTCCTTGTGTTCTAGTGTATAGTATGTTCCTTCTGTTCTAGTGTATAGTATGTTTGAATTGTTCTTGTTATAGTATGTTCCTTCTGTTCTTGTTATAGTATGTTCCTTCTGTTCTTGTTATAGTATGTTTGAACTGACTCATGTATGAACCGACTCTTGTAAGTTTCATTGTTCTAGAAATAGTGAGTAGTAATCCTCTAAACTATACCTATTATAGTTTACTAGTATTGTTGTTTGAATGACTGATCATGTTTGTACACCTTTGCTACCCAAAGGTATTGAACTGATTGGAAGAACTTTTATATCTACATACATATACATAATATATAACTAAGATTTAAACGACACTCGGACAAACAACCGATACCCTAAGTCCACAACCAAACAAGGAACAGGAAATAAATCGAGTTATCAGTCCTAAACCCTTTCAACCTTATTTATATAACTATATCTATATAGACATGATTTTGACAATATATAAGTTTAAAAGAGTTTTGTAAAACGATAAAGAGTTTATCATATAAAAGAGTTTTAACCATTTGAATGGTCATTGATGACTTGATATCAGTTTATAAAATGATTTGGAACAGTTTGTTTGATAACACAGTTCTGAAGTATAAGAAATCCTCTTGTTTGATAGTTATAAATCACATGTGATTGATACTATAACTATATTGTTTTTTACTTGTATTCCCCCCCCCCCCCATAAAAGCATTTAAAATAGTTAAAAGATAAGTTTAGGGGTATGAACTCACCTGTAGTGAGTGATTCGAATGTAAGATCAATATAGGATGCTAAGTATGCCAGGTGAAGTCTTGAGCACAAACGAATCCTATTAAGCATATAATGACACATATATGTATATAACAACTAATCATGTAAGGGAACAACCTTAGGTGCTAGGAAACACTTGGAATGAAGTGTTACAATCACATATGATTGCACAAAAGGGTGTCCACGGCCACACTATAAGTGTTTGCGGCCATAGGAGTGTTCACGGCCAAGGAGTGTTCACGGCCAAGCAGTGTTCACGGCCAAGAATGCTAAAGTGTTTACGGCCAAAGCTTGGTCTAAGAAGGGTTTACGGCCATGGGTTGAAGGGTTCACGGCTACCACATGAACTAAGAAGGGTTTACGGCCCTAACAAGATCACTTGAAGGGTTCACGGCCACATGAAGGGTTCACGGTCGTGAACTCTTGAAGATGATGCTTAAAAGGTGTTTGTTTCATGGGGATTCAGGAGCTCCTAATGGATAACAAGTATATGGAAAATATACTTACGCTTTGGAAGCTTATAGGGTGATTACACCCAAAGAACAAGTGTGTGTTCTTGGTGTTCTTGGTGATTTGAAGATCTAAACCCAAAAGAGATGAATTCATGGATGAAATCATAGGGTTTCACTTGAATATGAAGGATATCAAGAAAGAATGGAAGAATCACTTACACTTTTGAAGATCAAGGATGATTTCCTTGATGATACTTGAGAGAGTTTGAGTGTTCTTGACTTGAAGATTTGAGAAATGAAGAATGATGAAGGAACTCTATACTAGTTGGAAGGAGTTTACGGCCAAGCTTGGGTTTACGGCCGTAAACCTACTTTGGCCGTAAACATCCCTTGATGGATGATCTTGGCTCAATTTGAAACTCATAAATTCCTTACTCACAATTCATAGCATTAAGTCCTATGTGTACAAGGCTTAAAACTTCTATAATAACCCTTAGCAAGGCTAAAAGGTAACAGAAACTAGTCTGACTTTTGATTGAATTGAATGGCTTTACAAGATAGAAATTTCGAGTTGTCACATAAAATGTTTATCTATGAAGGATCTAGGAGAGGCAGCTTATATATTGGTCATTAGGATCTATAGAGATAGATCTAAACATTTAATCAGATTAAGCCAAAGTACATACTTAGATAAGGTTTTGAAAAGGTTCAAAATTCAAGATTCTAAGAAAAGGGTATCTACCTATGAAACATGGCATAAGATTGAATAAAGATCAATTATTCATAACTGAACAGGAACTGGAAAGAATGAGTCAAGTCTCATATGCTTCTGTTATAGGATCGATCATGTATGACATGACATATGCTAGTCCTGATATACCATATGCTCTTAGCATGGTGAGTCGATATCAAGAGAATCCTGGTGATAGTCATTGGATGACCGTAAAGAATATCATCAAGTATTTGAAAAGAAGTAAGGATATGTTTTTGATATATGTTGGAAAAGAAGAATTGAGAGTTACATGTTACATTGATGCAAGTTTCCAGACTGATAGAGACAACTCGTGCTCACAATCGGGATGGCTATTCTTGCTTAATGGATGAGTTGTTACATTGAAAAGTTCCAAACAGAAGACGGTGGCAAACTCGACATGTGATTCTAAATACATTGCGGCTAGTGAAGTTGCAAATGAGGTGACATGGTTGAAGAACATCAGTGATCTTGGAGTTGTACCAAGCATCAAAGAGCCTTTGAAGATCTTTTGTGACAACGAGGGTGTAGTCACCTTGAATAAAGGACCCATGGACCATGGTAATACACATTCAGAGAAATTATCATTATGTTCAACATCGTGGAGAAGATGGTGGCATCATTGTGAGTAAGGTGTCATTTGAGGAGAATCTTGTTGATCCATTCACAAAACCACTATCAATGAAGAAACATTATGGTCATGCTAGAACCATTGGCATGAGACTAGATAATGGTTTGATGTAGTAGTTTAGTATTTAGTTTGAATAATTATCATGAAACATATTACAGTATGAATTTTAACAATTTTTTATGTTTATAAAGAGATTTTAGTTTGTTATCAAAGTCTTGTTAATTCAAATACTGTGTTTCACTTTTGCATGTTTTGAACCAACTTCCAGAGTATATAATCATGTTCAAACTCCACAGTCGGTCGCATTCTTAGGAGTAAATGTTAGTATTAAAGGTTGTCATGAATATTGGTTGATTGACCAAGGTGCTTTGGGCATTAGAATTGAGATTGTGTTAATATTGCATGAGTACTTGAAAATAGAGATTTTAAGTATTGGGACAACCCGCACTTAGAGATTACTTCATGAATCTAGTCACAAGTAATTCTTCAGTGACAATATCTTTTGTTCTTCAAACCAAGATACATATGGGGTTTTGTTTACAAAATCTATTGTGCATTGGTGTGTTTTAAGGCTATTTGTAACTGATAGTCATAAAGGGTATTTCCATATATGATTAGACGAGTAGGCAAAAACTACGTAGTCAAAGTTTATTTGTACATTCTCGTTGCTGGGAAGATACATATATATATATATATATATATATATATATATATATATATATATATATATATATATATATATATATATATATAGGTGCTGACATCTGAAGTGCTTGTCTGAGGCCTGACTAAATTGATGTGTTCGATTTAGTCGTCAAATGTAATGTCGAAAATCGTTAATCGTGAAACAGAATATTGAACATTGAGATTGACTCATATCCATGACTCATGTTCGTAGAGATGTCTAGAACAAATGAATACATTGATCATTTGTCTAAGAACCGGATTTTGATTCTAATTAGAGTTTGGCACTTGCAATAGATGACTACTCTCTGTTGATTGATAGTAAAATATTTTTTTTGGGTTGACACAACTAAATAGAAATTTGGAGAAGCATATGGTTGAAATCACCCGACTCCGAAAATGGCATCATTAATGTAAGACGTGAGTAACCTAAATGTCAAAGATCAAGCAAGACTTTGACGGTAAAAACGGCAATTTAGGGCTAGATATAAACCGTATATTTTTAATCTACAAATTTATGTCTTTTTAAGTTTTTATTTATGTACTTATCAATCGTATGGTTAATGAAAACTTAAATTTTATTTTAATTAATATTCATGTTTTTTATTAAATTTTATATATTTTTTATCTTAAAAAAAAGTTAGATGGCATGAATGACAAACCACTTCCTGCTCATAGCAAACAAATGGTAAGAATGGCAAAATTATGTGGCGCGGAATGTTTGAGACAACAAATGACACGACACCAAATCATGTCTCTATTAGGGTATATATTTAAGATTTGATCAAGAATGAAATAACTTTATTAAATTATATATCAAAAAAATTTACCAAACCCAAAAAAATTGAGTTTAACATGTTATTCACATTTAACATAAACCAAACCAACTAAACTGAAAACCAATTAAATTGAACCTTACTTGGTTCGGTTAATATTTTTGAGGTTAAAAAACCAATTAAACCGAATCAAACAAATCGATAACCAATTATTATTTTAAGGGAAAACCCGATCTACCCAACCCGAACTACAACAAACCCGAAAATTTTACGTGATCACCCCTAGATTATACGGACCGAATAACACCTGTAGGCGGAAGGGGAGAAATGAGGGGAAACAAGATGTGGCGGGAGATGAAGTTATTTAAGGCATTATTACCGCTTTGGTTGGACAAATTTTTTTTTTTCAAAAGTAGCAGATAAAATTTAGAGTAAAATATAGTTTTTCTTTCATATATAAATACTACAATCTACAAGTTAACAATGTACACATTCTAAAACTAGAATAATTGAAGTTACGTAGGTGTCTTGAGAAACATTATATATCCAGAGCTTCAATATCATATTCCGGAAAGATCATCAGCATCAGCAACAGCGAACTCACACACAAGAGCAAGATGATCGCTTCCCCATCTCTAAACAACACAAGTACATATCACATTTTTGTAGATAACTAATGTTTAAAAATAATTTATGTAAAATGTTAAGACACAAAAAAATAAAAAATAAAAAATAGAATTGGCAATGAAGGTATACATTTATGTACCTTACTTGGAAGCCCTTCTGTTTTTTCCAAAGTTTCAATTGGTAATGTCTCAAGAACTTTCAAAGGCACAAGGTCCCCTGTATGCCTGTTTTAATACAAAGAAGCAAAAGAATATAGAGATAAATGCAACAAGTAGCAATATAATTCTGTTTATTATTATTTTTTTTTTAAATGCATTCTACTTCCACTTTTTCTATTAAACCATTGTAGCATCCTACTTCAATTTTTTTCCAAATACACGCAATTTTTGCTGTTATAATTGGATGGACTTTGCAAAGTTCTTATGAACAGTAGATTCTTTTGGTCTTAAGAGATTTGCCACTAATGTTTTACATTTTAACAGATGTAGTCCCTGCAACAAAGGTTTTACATTTTGGCAGATTTAGTCCCTATAAACAAAAGTTTTACAATTTGATAGATTTAGTCCCTATAAACAAAGATTTTACATTTTGGCAGACATAGTCCCTGCAACAAAGCTTTTACAATTTGGCAGATTTAGTCCCTGCAACAAAGGTTTTACATTTGGATGGATTTAGTCCCTGTAATTATTTAGTTTACAGAAAAGGTCCCTATAAAGTTTATTTTTTTACAAAAACAGCCCATATGTTTAAGGTTTTTGTATCTTGGCACCTTTGGCCCCTGTGTAGAAAATAAATTACAAAAAAAGTCCCTGTAATTTACAGAAAAGAAGATCCTTGTGTATTTTTTTTACAGAAACAGTCCATGTGTTTAAAAAACTACAAAAATAGTCCCTACATAACAAAAAGTTTGCTATTTCTTGCATTTTGCCAAAAAAATATGCACTCAACTTTTAGGATACACTATATGTAATTAGATTTACCATATGTAATCAACTGTCCCCATAAATCTGGAGTGAAAAGACGTTGCTAAGGGTTCTCCATATTCATCTCTTGTCAAACGTGTCGCCTGAAAAAAATAAAAAAAAATCATAACCAATTCATATAGAAACTGTAAACTACATATTTGCACTGAAGCATAAAGCAAAATTTAAAAAGATAAAAAGGAAAGTAGAGAAAATAATAAACTTACAGGAACTCCATGATATGCACTGTTGAGTTTTAGTTTGTGTCTAAGGTAAGTTGAATGTTTTGTTCCTGTTGCTAACCTTAGTTCTTCTTTATTCCATCTGTAAAAAAGGACTCATGTCAATGGGACAAATATTGCAAATTGCAATTTCTTATATATGTGCAAAAGACGTAAATGTCCTTGTTCTCGTTATCAAAAAGGTGGACAGTGAAGAAGCTTTCTAAGGCAATTTTCGATGAGGGGGAGGGGAGGGCATTTATGTCTTTTGCACAGATAAGAGGTGAAAAAATAGTTGGATTAACAGACCTAGAAGAATAATAATTACTATGACACTGAAATGTTGGGTAATTTAATGGAAAAATCTGCCCACATATTTTTTTGCGTTCATGGTGTTGGATGTTTAACTGAGAAGAAAAATTAAATAAATCAATAAATATAAAACTTTACACTTTGATATGCATCATAGCAAATAAAACTCTGCATCTAAAAAAAATTAAAAATAATAATAGTAAAGGGGTTACACTTACCTCGGATGAAGCTATGAACTGATACATTGCACTCTGAAAAAAAATTATGAATAGATGAGGATACACAAAAATTTAAGTGAAATAAAATATAGATTGGTTACATTCTTTATAATATATATATTTAAATACAATGTATAGGTTTAACTCTACTTTATACATACTATTAAAAAAAATAATAATCATATTTAATACCTGAGGCATACTATTAAAATCTCCACCGAGTATAACTGGTATATTGCCCCATGTCTCTAAAAGTCTATGAGCCTTTGCAAGAAATAATCGTACCTTATTGGTCAAAAAAAAAGTCAAATGTGTCAAAATTTGCTCAAAGTGTATGATTATGTTAAAGAATACACTTTTTTTAATCATATTTAACTTTTTTATAAAAAAAAAATAATTTGTTAAGTACCTGACCGAGCTTAATATCCCCACGACTTGGGTTAAAAAGCACATGTATATTTCCAACCAATATGCTTCGACTTCCAGAGGGTTGTGTAAGTGTCCTATAAATATGCAAAATAATTAATTTATGTATTTGAAATATGCAAAAAAACATTTATGCTTAAAGAACAAAAACTAGTAAGTAGTAACTGATAACTTACTTTAGATTTTCAGTGTCATCAACATGTGTTTGACACCCATTCATCTGTGTGTTTTTAGAGGGTAGAAGAAATAAGATTAGAACAAATATGAAACACTCAAGAGTCAAGAGGAGGGTATTTATGTCTTTTCTGCACATACAAAGATCAAGTGTGAGTCTCTAACTCTCTATCCACCTTTTTGGGTGGGAGTGAGACAAAAAATGCAAAAATAACGTGACAGATTTGTAAAAAGTTTCTCTGTTAAATAGCATCTTTAATTAATACCTTTAGAACACAAAATTGAGCAACATTGTCACGAAGACCAAAGTGCTTAAACTCGATGTTGTCTTCATGCACAAGGGAAAACCTGTAAAGGTAACAAAACACAACTCAAAAATTTATCTCAAACATAGATAATTATATTATCAATTTATCATGATATCTGTAAAGGTAACAAAACACAATTCAAAAGAAAATGTATACTTACATTTCATCTTTCCAAAATATACCACACCCATCACGTGCTTCTCCAGTTCGAGCCTTACAAAATACAAATAAATGAGATTTAATAAAAGTTCAGAGTAAAACCATTTTCTTTTTAGCAGGAACTGAAAATAAACCTGGTAAACTCCTTTGAATCCATCTTTCTGTAAAGTTGTATTCAAATCATCAAAACGATCAACCTCCTGATAGAGGTTTTAAGTTTTATCATCGATATTTATAGTAATTAACACTGACGTGAATTGAAATCAGGAAGAAAGACAATGGAAACTTGCCTGGAAACACAAAATGCTAGGATTATACCGAGCAATCTCCTTGCGTATAACTCTTAGTCTATGTTTCCATTTCAGAAACTTGGGGAGCACATTAATGTATAAATCCTTATGTTTTGAAGCATTTTCAACACCCAGTATATTATACGATAAAAATACAAACTTATCTGCAACACGATTACATGAATTCAAAACAAATAAACAAAAAGCCATCCAGAGTGCATAGAGAAAGATTGTATAACCTTTATGATTAGAGCAATCACGAGTAGAGTAAACCCATTTGCGATTCTCAGAATTTCTTCTGCCTTGTTTTTGCTTATGCTTGGAAGTGTGTGTGTGAACTGGGATTAGGGTTAGGGTTAAGGGTTCGGTTTCTATGGTTAATTTTCGTTTCTTTCGGGTGAAACTTCGTTGAGGGTTCGTAGAACTAGATTGTTCTTCCATTGAGCGTTGGTCGGGCTTAAACCAAGATATGGTGGGGAGTGCTTGTGCCGGGCTATGGCTCCGGCTCCGGATCCGGAGAGAGCTGGGAATTCACCTGCAGAAGATCTCGCGAATGCTATGCAAATGGTAAAACATACCCTTTTTTTTTTAACTCACCACTCGGTATATTTTAGGTTTTTAACTATGTTTTAAATACTTGTTTTTTAGTTGAACCAGTATGGGGAGCGATTTCCGGTTCGACCGTCAGGTCACCGGTTAACCGGTTCGACCGTCAGGTCAACCGGTTTCTATAATTTTCATATTTTTTTTAGTATTTTTCTACACATACATACATACATAAATCATGAATTTGACGTCTACAAGTTCAATCATATAAAAATACACATAAAAATAAGTTGTAGATCAATCTAAATACATTAAAATGTCACACCCCCAAACCGAAACGGCGGAAACGTTCGGGGGCGGAGGACGTCATGTATAGTATCACAACAATTGAATAATAGTAATCAAAGCAACAACAACCATTGTATTAATAGTATAGTGTTTACATTTCATTTAAATCATACATGATTGACTCCAAAAGTAAATACAAGTAAAGACTCGAAGCTACTATGTTCCGTCTTCTTGAATCCGTATGTGTACCTGTCTACTAATGTCCTAAGAATACAAGTAGATTTTGAAAGGGTATCAGCATAAAGCTGGTGAGTTCATAAGCGTTTAGTTTTGGGAAAAGCTGTTCTTTGTTCTTTTGAAAAGTGTGTTATCTTTCTCCAGAAAACCTTATATTTCCTGATGTAATGAATGTATAAACCTTCAGTAAAAATGATTCTTACTAGTTTCTCCTGCGAGTACTTAGTGTATACAAATCATATACAATCCAGATCGAACAAACAATCGATTGTGTGGTTCTGCCCCAAGCCCACAACCAAACAAGGAACAGGAAGTGAGGCGGAGTCCACACATTCCACTGCAAGTCGGATCCTCATGTACATAATCCTGAAGTATTCACTAGATACTTACAAAGTTAACTGTATTGTTCCTTTGATATCTGTTTGAAAGTGTTCCTCAAGAAAATCCAATATTTTCTTATGTAAAGCATGATTAAACTCATTCCTTCTATAACTACTTAGTTCATACTAGTTACGTAAAAACCAATATCGAATGGACAGTTAACTGTGTGGATCTGCCTTAAACCCACAACCAAACAAGGAATAGGGAATGAGGCGGAAACCACACATTTCACAGTCTATCGGATATCCTTCATATGTAACCCGGATGCACAAACTAAGGAATTATAGAATTTATGATGAATATTTGTTAATTGAATAATTAACCAATTGTTTGTAAAGTACCGATGTTTACCCTGGAAAATCCTATATTTTCCTAAGTGTATGTTATGTATGTATTATGTACGAAAACCTTTGTATGAAAACCCTTGTATGAAACCATTGTATAGTAATCTTATTACATAAATAAAACTAGCTGAATGTGTGTTGTACAGTATACTGAAAGTGTTGTTAATACGCTCCTGTGATCACCAAGTACATACGAGTTATAGAAATCTAGATCGAACAAACAGTCGATCGGGTGATCCCGCCCTAAGTCCACAACCAAACAAAGAACAGGAAATAAGGCGGAGATTACACATCCCACTGCAAGTCGGATGTTAATTTCATATTACCCTGGTGTATATACTAAGTTATCACATAGTTATTAACCCTAATGTCTGTTTGTTAGATGTATTATTATGTGAATGAGTCGTTGTTTCACCTGTGGATTCTTATAACCATATTATGGACGATCAACAATACGACATATACATCGATAAAAATGACGTTTGTCACCCTAGGTTGACTGTAGCTAATAGTCAGGGTGCGGGATTGTCACTCCCGTATAGATCTATACACAAACTCACGCTCTCCCTCCCAGGAGACTCTGGTTACAAGGCGTCTCACACTGCTGGCTCTCTCAACGAATTCACGAATAATACTATGAAAACCCTTTTTGTTATGAATCCTTATAAAATAATATCTTTTATTTCATAATTCATAAGTTTGTTTCCTCTGTTCTGAAAACTGTGTTTGTAAAGTTTGTATCTTAACATGTTTTGTAAAACCGATTTCAAGTCTAGTGGTGACGATGTTTTACTATGTATGTAAGTTCTATGTTCAATGTATACTAGTGATTGGAAAAATATAATAAACCAAAATTATATTTTAAACACAAGATTACTTGTGCTTTTACTTGTATTCCCTCCCCCCCCCTGAAAACATTAAAAACTCGGAAAAATATAGGGGTATGAACTCACCTTATGTGTTTGATTTGATTGAAAGTTCGCGTATGGATGAGAAGTTCTACGAATGAATTCCCGAGACACAACGAGTCCTAAATGACATAATGGCATATATAGGCATGTAATTAGTGTTTTGGACAACTAACATGCAAGGAAACACCCTTAGGGACTAGGAAACTGTAACACCCTGTTTATTTAATAAATAAGTAGATAAAATTTATGAAAGAGTAGTAGCCCTAAAATCCATATTATTCAGTGAGATGTTGATTTTGGGAGCTAAATGTTATAATTTTAGAAGTTGGGGGTTAAAAGTGTAAGTTCCAGGTTGACTTTGTAAATATTTATGAAGGCAGAGGTGTAATTGGAAAATATTGTACCTAAATTGCAATGGATTTTAATGTTGAGGGCTGTTTAGTAATTTATGGGTTGAATTTGAAAAGGATTTCAGGAATCAGGGTATATTTGGTAAAATATGGACTTATTATGAAAAGATTTCTGAGGGCAGGGTCTATTTGGTAAGTTTTGGACTAATGTTGAAGAAAATCTGAATTTGAGGGGCTAATAGTGTCAACATGAGAGGAGGCTTCTATGAGGACGGGGTATATATGGATCACCCGTAACCCTAACCCTAGAAAGTATCATGAGCCGCCTCCATCCACCCTTTGGACTTCCGGCGCCGCACAACCTCCGATGAGTTCGCCAATCGCCGGAGACCGCCAACGAAGCCTGCCATGTCCGGAGATGTCGAAGACTGTTGGGTATACCGGGAGTTATGGCCGCTGTGGTCGTTCTGGTGGAGGTGCGACCACCATAGTTGAGAAGCCAAACCACCGAACGCGTTGTGCTTCGCCATCGTGATGTCCGGGAACCCGCTGGTGGCGATAGGCGGAGTGGGAAACGTTGATGCGTGGGAGGTGATCGACGGCGTTGCTGCCGCCGCTTCACTGCAGCCGTTGAAGATTAAGCTGCTGGCGAGCGACCTCAGTTCTATGCTGCTGCTGCGACCGTCGTCACTGCCGCCACTCCAAGTCGTCGTTGCTGTGGCCGCCGACCTTGCTGCCGCCAACCACCGCTGTTAGGTGATGCATGGTGCGCGTATTTCATGTGTGACTTAACTTCAGTTAATTATTTGGCGTTCATATGTACTGTGGGTTATTTGGCTAGCCGGAAATCGCAAGGCTGCCGCCTTGCACCACCGCCGGCCACCATTGGGTGGCTGTGCGTGTGTATGTGTATGTTAGTGAGTGTGTGCATGTTTCGGGATTTGTATTGTAATCTGTAATAGTGTCGGAATAATGAAAGAACTTGGAAACCATCACCTTAGGGTGGTGGCTGCCGCCTCCTGCCGCCACCAGCCGCCGTGTCGGGTGGCGGTGTGCTTGTTCATATGTACTGTGGGTTATTTGGCTAGCCGGAAATCGCAAGGCTGCCGCCTTGCACCACCGCCGGCCACCATTGGGTGGCTGTGCATGTGTATGTGTATGTTAGTGAGTGTGTGCGTGTTTTGGGATTTGTATTGTAATCTGTAATAGTGTCGGAATAATGAAAGAACTTGGAAACCATCACCTTAGGGTGGTGGCTGCCTCCTCCTGCCACCACCGGCCGCCGTGTCGGGTGGCGGTGTGCTTGTTGTGTTTGACTCGTTTGGATGTTTGGACAAGGGACTAAGAAACCCTAATGGGCCCAATGAGGCTTAATGGGCTTAATGAACCCTAATGGGCCCAATGAAGCTTAATGGACCCAAAAGCCCAAGCATGTGACTAATGGGTGTAATAAACCCTAATTGGCCTAAGGAAAACCCTAATGGGCTTAAGGACTTGGTTTTGGGGCTATTGGGCTAAGATGGGATTGGAAACCCTAATTAGGGTTTAGAAAACCCTAATATTGGATTTATGGGCTTGGACTTATTGGGACCCACTTTTGGGCCATTGGAATGGAATTGTGTGATTAAGCCCAATCACACCATATGACTTATTTAGAAGAATGATGGACTTAATGGATTAAGTCCTTAATGGATTAAGCCCTTAATGGGTTAAGTGAGAAACACTTAACCCTAATCGTCATTTTATTTGAAAACCCTAATTTCACTTGGGTTTATTGTTGGGCCTTTATTGGGCCTTGATGATTGGACTATTAATGGGCCATCCAAGATCGAGCAAATGGACTAGAATAATTAATGGGCTTTGTGGTAAGGCCCATATGAGGAGTTGGGCATAATTTGGAAAATTGGGCCATAGATGGGCCATAGTTTGGGCCTTAATGATTATATGATGTTGGGCCTTAGAATGAGACCATATATAGGCCTAGGCCCAATTTGGAAAATTGGGCCATGTGTTGGGCTTTGATTCCTAATTGAATTTGGGCCTATGGATTGGGCCTTGGGCTTGAATAAGCCAAGCTAGGGGTAATGTGGTAATTACCTAAAGAATGTACTTATGGTTATGTAGTAGGACCCAATTATTAATTGGGTGTTATTTTGGTGTTGGCAGTTCGGGAATCTGGCATCCAGCAGCTGGGGCTGAGTCTGCGGGACTTCAGCAGAGTGGGATTGTGTCTACGGGACTGCAGCAGTGTGAGGTGAGTTACCTTCCAGTAGCGGTGGGTCTACGGCCACAATGCCGACCCACCAGTAGGAGTTGTATGTTAGATGATTGTCTTTGTGATATTTATCTGGGTTTGCTACTACCTGATATGTTATATGCTGGCATAATATGTTATATGTGATAGTGGTAGTAGGGGGAATAGTCCCCAAGTTCGGTTGTTAGGACCGATGGGTAGGCCGGACACCCCAGATATGCATGACAGTATGTTTATGCTATGATATTATGTGGTAGTAGTAGGAGG